TCTGCTTCTGCAAAGCCCCCCAAATTGGATTAAGGCTCAAAATAGGTATATGAGCGGAACCAGAGACTATTAGGGAGATTTTCCTTAAAGTATTTTTTAAAAATGTTTTTCCCTCTATTTTATGTGCACTGGTGTTTTGTCTGCATGTATGTCTATGTGAGAGTGTTAGATCTTGGAATTACAGACAGTTGTGAGCTGCCATGTGGGTGCTGGGACTTGAACCTGGGTCCTCTGGAAAAGCAGTCTTTAACTGCTCTTTAACTGCTGTCTCCAGACCCAAGATTTTCTTAAATAAGACAAAAATGCAAAGGCCAAATGGAAGCCATATTATATATATATATATAATATATGATAAGCCAGGAGCCAGGGATGGTGGCACAGGCCTGAAATCTCAGCTTCATGGGAGGCTGAAGAACAAAGATCACTAGTTCAAGGCTTGCTGGGGCTACAGAGTGAGTTCAAGGCCGGTCTGGGCTACTCTGTGTGACTCTGTCTCAAAGTAAAAATTGTAAAAATGATTTAGGGAGATTCGATGTGCTCCTGGAGATGAAGTTGCTGTCTTCAGTGGTGTAGCCACTGATGTGGAGTCTCTAGTGTATGAGTAACTCAAGAATGTCCACTGGGCAGCCCTGGTTAAAGCCAGTGAGTGAGTCACAAAGAAAAACAGAAAGTAAAACAAAAACATGATAGTGGTGTGGAGACTGGATGGGGATGGCAGGGAGAAGAGAGAAAGAGATGAATGTGACTGGAATGTATTATATTCGTGCAGAGGTTATATTGCCAGAGGATAAACAAACAGGTATAGGAAAGTGGGGTATACAGTTAAAGGCAGAGTGTTTGCCTAGCAAGTGATCCACGCCTAGCTTCAATCTCTAGTGTTACAAAAACAAAAACCCCCAAACCAAAACCACAGAAAAGGCTTTAAACAGTCTACTATGACAAAACAGTCACAATAGACATGTTAGGCAAGGGGCTAATATGAAAAAAAATCCAGTAAAATGGGTAAATATTAACAAATAGTTCAGAGAAGGAAATTGAGAAACACGAAACTTGCAACTTCATTAATAAAAACAGTGCCAAGACATAAGGCTAACTGGGTATCAGGTGCTTTTCCAAAGGTTTAGAAATCAGTTCACTTCATGTTTTGATAGGCCTATAAGACAGGTGCTGTTAGTCCTATTTTCTCCCTGAGACGATTGAGGCAGAGGTTTAGAGGAACTGCCCCAGGAACACAGGACTAGAACGCAAGGCAGTCAGTGTAGCTCACTTCAGTACAGTTTCCTCTACTCTTTCTGAGACAGTCCCTCACTATGAAGCCCTGGAATGCCTAAAATTTGCTATGTAAACCAGGTAAATTAAGCTGACTTTGAACTCAGATCTGTCTGTCTCCACCTATTAAGCACTGGAGTTAAAAGGCACGTGCCACCACCACCTAGCAGTTAACACAGCATAGCATGCTTTAACTATGCTATATTATTTCTCCAGAGAGTGGGGGATGTAGGAATACAAATTTTAAGTTTATCATTTTCTTTTCAACGAAATAAGATTTTCAAAAATTAAAAAAAAAAGGTCAACATGCAAAATTGAGTACCATTGGTGGGAGAATATAATGGTGCTTTTTTTTTTTTTAATAGTAATGTGGTAGTTTGAATGAGCATGGTCTACACAAGCCTTGTATATTTGAATGTTTGGTTACTCCCCAGTTGGTGGAACTGTTTGAGGAGGATTGGGAGGTGTGGCCTTGTCACTGGGAATTGAGCTTTCAATCCCTCAGCATTCCCGTTAGTGCTCTCTGCCTAGTGACTGTGGATCGGATGGAAGCTCCGGTACCATGTCTGCCTACCTGCTGCCAGGCTCCCCATCTTGGTGGTAACCCCTGAAACCATATGCCCCCCGCCTTTCTCTAAGTTCCCTCCTTGGTCACAGTGGCTCATCATAGCAATAGAAAAGTAATTAAACAAGTAGTAAATACAATTATTTTAAAAGAAACAATCTGAAAACAGTTCAGAAAAAGAAATTATCTTACAAAAAGTGGTAAGTGATCAAGTTGTTTCTAACATAAAATTATCTTTTTAAAAAAATATTGGAGTGGTAAACCATCTAGTTCCTGTTTTCTTTCTCTTTTAAAAAACGTATTACTTGCTGGGCAGTGGGGGCACACGCCTTTAATCCTAGCACTTGGGAGGCAGAGGCAGGCGGATTTCTGAGTTCAAGGCTAGCCTGGTCTACAGAGTGAGTTCCACGACAGCCAGGACTATACAGAGAAACCCTGTCTCGAAAATCCAGAAAGAAACCCCAAAAAACCGTATTACTTATGTGTATATATATGTGCTTGCATGAGTTTATATGAGCCACATATGTGCAGGTGCCCCAGAAGGAAAGAGGGTGTTAGATCCTTGGAATCCAGTTAACTAACTGCCTGGTGTGAGTGCTGGGAATCAAACCCAGGTCCTCTACAGGAGCAATTAACATCCTTAAGTTCTTAACCACTGAGCTGTATCTCCAGCCCTGTTTTCCTTCTCTTCATTTTCAGATGTCAACAAAGGATATTGGAGTATAAGCACGACATCCCTCCCATGCTAACTTCTACATGGCTGTTTCCCTGTGCTTTATAATTTAATCAGCTCAGGTCAAGTTCTCCCAGAAAGCCTGTTTCCTGAAGCACTAACATTGCTACTTAAGTGGCTGATTCACACAGACACACACTCTTTCTTTCTTTTTGGTTTTTTTGAGACAAGGTTTCTCTGTGTGCCCTGGCTGTCCCAAACCTCAATTTGCAGACCAGGCTGGCCTCAGACTCACAGAGATCCACCTGCCTCTGCTTCCTGAGTGCTGGGATTAAAGGTGTGTGCCATCACATCCAGCTTTATAGTATTTTCTATATTTGTCCCTTAGTCTTTATCTCAACAGGTTCATGTCAGGAGTAAAAGTGACAAAGTCTAAGGCCTTCTGCTGTACTCGTTTATTCCAAACAGACAGAGAAGTACAGGGAGCTACAAAAGAGTCTGTTACTAAACTTCACTATCGAACGACACTGAGGGTTTATCATGAATGGCAGTATGTAAGGAGATACAGCCTTCTGCCTTTTCTTTTCTTTTTTTTTCTTTTTTTAACAAAGCACAGCAGGGGCAACTCACTTTCCAATCCCTGCCAGCTGCAGAGAGCTGTTTCTTTACTTCTCAATGCACTTTACTTGCTCACCCTCAAAAACAAACCCCACAAAACCTCGGCATAGTTTTCATTTTGCACCCAAAACTTCCTGTGTTATTTTTTTCTCCCTGGTGCTACGGAAACCCACGACCTCGTTTATGCTTCCAGTCTACTTGCCCACCCCGTTCTCACTGTGGTGCGTGGTTTTTTTTTTTTTTTTTTTGAGTCAGGGTCTCACTCTATAGCCTAGACTGGTTTTGAACACGATAGTCTCTTGCTCCAGTCACCAACTGCTGGGATTATAATCATGATTTATTATGCCTTGTATGCATTCTAGAATTTATGATCACCTTGGTTTCTAATCATAGCAAAGCAATTAAATATTAGAAGATGTGAAGTGGGTCCTGAGAAGGTGCAACAGGTTGCTCAGAAAACCAGTCTAGGGAAGCCTAAACCTCCATGGGAAGAAGGAGCTCAATAAATGACGGTTACATTGCACAGAGGGAGGCACTTAGGAATAGTCCATATTGTATAGCAGAGATTAAGGTCAGCAGAATATAAAACTGGAATATATTTCATTTGCATTTTATGGTGACAAATGGTTCATCAAAACACAGCTTCTAGCAGGAGGTGCTGGCCACACCCTGAGTCCTAACACTTCCAGCATTCAGGAGGCAGAGACAGGTAGCTGAGGCCAGCCTGATCTACACATCGAGTTCTGGGTCAGCCAGAGCTACACAGTATGACCCTGTCTCCAAAACAAAACAAACGCTTCGAAGTTCCTTTACTATATAGAGAAAGGTTGCACAAGTCACAGTACAGCTACAACAGGCCTGAGGTAATGGTTTCTTTTCTTCCTCTACCCTCACTTTCCTCCTTTTTGAAGCAGGGTCTCCTATAACTCAGGGTGGCCTTGAACTCTATGAAACTCTGAGGATGACCTGAATTCCTGACCTCCTACTTCCATCTTCCAAGCACTGGGATAACAGGCAGTCAACACCAAGTCCATTGAAGCACTGAATTCTGATATTATACGCTGTCCTCAACACAATCAAATAATTGTGAACAGTTCCATCAAAATAAAGCATTAACCACAGCAATGCCAAGGAATAGAGATAGTTTTGCTGAAAGATAGTTTTACCGGGAGTCAGTTCAAAACCAAAGTACCTCAAGGCATCTCACACATCTTACATTTTTTTATCTTGCTGGAAAGAGAACTTGAAAGGTTGAGAAAAGTGATCATCCAATGCTCCAAAGGCCAAGAAAGTGTTAAAATGGGGTCAGTCTTGAATTTCTCTTTCCCCACCTCTTCACTACTCCAGCCCTAGAAGCCACAAGTGAGGAAGAAAAGTTGTGGAAACAAGAGGAGTGTGTGTGGGGTGGGGTGAGATGAGGTACAGTTATCCCCCACATACAGGGTCACTTGCTTGGAGTCACTTTCTCCTGCTCCCACCATGGGCTTCCCGCCAAAGATGCTCCTAGGCAGGCTAGGAGGTCAGCTTGCTTCACTCCCTCAGCCTCTGCATGGGGACTGCAGCCTCCTCCTGGCCTCCGGGCCTTCAGGACCCCAATTTCCGATGGGAACACTTTTTGCAGTCAGGTCCCGGGGCTCCTCCACCTCCATCCCCGCCCCCTCCCCCGCCAGGCTCCGTCAATGTCCCCTTCCTCCCTCAGGGTGCCCCTGTGTCTGCCTCCCGTTCGCGGTCCCTCCCGGGGGCCTGGCACACCGTTCCTTTCCTGCCCCCTCTCGCAGCCCTTCTTTTCGGGTGCCCACCTGGCGCCCCTTCCAAAGCCTGGCCCCTTAGAGCCACGGCCTCCTCCCAGCCCCGCCCCTGCTCCCGGGCGGATACAGTTTGAAGCCTCTCAGGATATCCCTGGCCCGCTCGTCCTTGGCTGACATGATGCGGCGCCTGCCGCCTGCGGCCCTCCCACGCTGGCTCCGCGGGGCCTCGCAGACGGTACCCAGGAACCGAGGACAGCCGCAGCCCGGCCGGACACCTCAGGTGAGCAGCGGTGGCGGCCAGACCCGAACCGGCCTCTCCCTCCCCTCAGCTCCCGCTCCTGATCCCTTCTCCTTCCCTCTAGTCGTGGAGCTCCCGCCCTGAAACCAATGGTAAGACAGCCTTGGCGATTGGCATCCTGAATAGCCAATAGCAACACTCAGCGGCTTCGCTCGGGGACGGAGAGCGTCAGTGGGAAAGGCCCTCTTGGAGGGGTCCCGGAGGACAGAATTTTCTTTCGTGTTGTTGCCTAGAGTTTGTCCCAGCGGAGAGGTAGCTTGAAATCTTCAGAGACTTTTGAGAAACTTGCTCTCATCGTAGGCATACTAGTGGTCTGAGACTATGGCAGTCTGTACTGTACAAGGTGGCAGAAACTACATTTCCCAGCATCCCAGAGAGCACGGGCGATCCCAACGCACCACTAGAGGCCAGGGACTACAAATCCCAGCATACTATGCGCTCTGTCTTTTTAACTTAGATTCCAGTGTGCCGAGCAGTGTGCGCATATTTGGAATCTTTCTATGGGGTTGGTTTCTGAATCCTGTTACTTGAAACCCAGCAGGAAGGCTCTCTTTTACCCCGAGACAAGACAGCCCACCGACAGTTAACTTCTGTTTACATGGAACTCAGGAGTCTGCAAACCATGGTAAGACTGCAAACAACTAACAAAACCACAGATTAAGCCATGAGAGATAATAGAACAAAATGACTTCCTCAAATAGTGCTAATTTATTAGGCTAGGGTGCATTTTTACTTGTTTTGCAGGGTTTATGTTATATTTCTGCTTTGGACTGGGAGAGCTAAAAATTATATACTCAGTGTGAGTACAGGAAGACTTAAAAGAATTTGCCAATCCAATCTCTTTATCTTTTGTTTTTAAATACGAGGAAATAGAGGCTCGGTGAGGCAGAGACTGGCCACAGAGGATAGCGAATTGACACAGTTAAAATCTGCTTTACGTCTACTGACCTGCCATGTAGTATCTACAGTACTCTAGGGAGGTGATATTTTTAGAAGCGTGACAGTGTGATTGTTTTTCTCCTTAATGAACAGTTTTCCGAACTAGTGTTGAAACACCCAGAGAATAGGAAAGCATTTATTTGGTGGATTTCCTGAAAGAAGCTAGTGTGACAGTTCTTTATCCTCAGTCTAGATAGGTCTTGCTATTTTGACTTTTTTTTTTTGACATTTAAGTTGACATTTAATGATTTCTTTTTTTCCCAGAAAGTAGGTAAAGTTGGTCTAACCGCCTGTTTCCTTGGAGATGCCCGTGTCCTTCCCTAGTCTTTCCTGTTTCTGTTCCCACTGCACCCATTTGATCACCCACCCATTTTTGCTTGTTTCTCTTCCAAGTAATTCAGCAAACCTTGTTTTTTGTTTTTTTGTTTTGGCCAGGTACAGTTAAGTGAAAGATATGCCACTGTTATTTGGAGGACACATAACTGTTTAGGGAGACAGAGTTGATAAATGGCATAAAAGACATTAGAATGTCACAGAGGATTACTTCTTGGCCTTAGAGGTTCTGATGAAGTGACTTGAACAGCTGGCAAAACTTCATAGTGGAAATGGCGTTTCAACTCAAAACAATGGTTCTCAAATTGTGGATCAAAAATCCCTTTGACCAAACCTCCATCTCCAAAAATATTTACATTCTGATTCACACAGTAGAAACATTACAGTTCTGAAGTAGCAGTGGAAATGATGTCATGCTTGGGGATACCACAACATGAAGAGTTGTATGAAAGGGTCACAGCATTGGGAGGGTTGATAACTTCTGACTTAAAGGATGAGGATTTTCCCTTCATGTTAAATTTTTTATCCTGAGTTATCTTTGTTAATGAAATGTGCCATACATTCAGTGAGAGAAGATATATACACCCATCAGTACCACCCAAATCAAGAAGTAGAACATTCTCAGCACCTTCTATGCCCTTTCCCAATCAGTAATGCATCCTCATATCTGGAGGTAATCAACCCGTTTCCTGGTTTTATGGCTATTTAGATATTTCATCTGTGTTTGAATTTGTATATGGATTTCACTTAAATGCGGTTATGCAGTATGTATAGTATATGGCTGGCGTGTGTTTGTACCATTTTCTTGTTGGCAAGTTGTATGTATAATCACAGTTCATCTCTTAGAAAGTTGATGGAGCCGGGCAGTGGTGGTGCACGCCTTTAATCCCAGCACTTGGGAGGCAGAGGCAGGCGGATTTCTGAGTTCAAGGCCAGCCTGGTCTACACAGAGAAACCCTGTCTCGAAAAAAGCCAAAAAAAAAAAAAAAAGAAAGTTGATGGAGATCTGAGTTTTATCATTAACAGATACATTATGCAGTGGGCATTCTTGTGTGCTACCTTTTGTGGACATGTTGCACAGATTTTAGGAAAAGAGTTGTTAGCCTTGTAGAATATACATATGGCCAGCAATAGTAGATAGTGCTAGTTTTTCTTTTTCAAAGGGATCGTACGACTGAGTCTTTTGCCTGATGTGTTGGAAAGTTCTAGTTGCTGCTCATTCTTGTTAACCCTGGGTATTTGTCATAAGTTTTTTTTTTTTAATTCTAGTCATTCTATCTAAATGTGGTATTTTGTTAAAGTACGCGTTTTTATTTTTCCTCTGCTGTCCACCTTAACTGCCTATTTGAATGGTCTTCTAGTCAACATGGTTGTTTAAAGCTTTTGGCCACTGTTTGAAATTAGGCTTTCGTTTTCCTACTGATTTGTATTTCTTTGTGCAGTCTTATGGATTCCTTTTCGGACATATACTTTGCAAATATCTTTTCCAAGGGCATGGCACGTCTTCATCTTCTACCTGTGTCTTTTGAAACAGAAATTAATCTCTTTTTTTGTTGTCATATCAGTGTTAGGGATTGAACCCAGAACCTTGCCTATGGTAGGCAAGAGCTTTACCACACCACTACATCCTATCCCCAGTACAGATTTTAAAAAAAGTTTTAGATTTATTTATTTTTTATGCACATGAGTGTTATGCTAGCATGTGTGTATGTGAACCTTATGTGTGCTTAGTTTTCTTGGAGGTCAAAAGAGGGTGTCAGATACCTTGGAACTGGAGTTATGGATGGTTGTAAACTGCTGTGTGTGTTCTGGGAACTGAACCCAGGTGTTCTACTTAACTCCTTTCTAGTTCTATTTTATTTATTTATTTATTTATTTATTTATTTATTTATTTATTCTTTTTGGTTTTTTCAAGACAGAGTTTCCCTGTGTAGTCTTGGCTGTTCTGGAACTCACTCTGCAGACCAGGCTGGCCTCAAATTCATATCTGCCTGTCTCTGCCTCCAGAGTGCTGGGTTCAAAGGTGAGCACCACTACTGTCAGGCCAGAAATGATTAATTTTAATATAATAGTCTTTTAAAAAAACCCTTAATCTGCTCTTTTCATTGAATTTAAGGAACCATTGAGTGTATGGTTAATAGAATTTTTACAGGAAAATAGAGAAGGGCATTGGTTTTTTTTGTTTGTTTTTATTTTTTTGTTTTTATAAAAGGCTCGGAGGAGGGAGAGTAATCTGCCTGTGTCTGCCTCCCAAGTGCTGGAATTAAAGGAATGTGCACCACTACTTGGCCTAATAGATGGCATTTAAATACTTATTTACTTTATGTGTATATGTGCTTTGCCTGAATGCATGACTGTGCACCATGTACATGTCTGGGGTCTGTAGAGGCCAGAAGAACATCCCAGATTTCCTGGAATTGGAATTACAGATGTTATGAGCTGCCTTGTGGGTGCTGGGATTTGAACCTAGGTACTCTCGAAGAGCAGCCAGTGATCTCACTGCAACTCCTAGATGCTATTTTTTTTTTTGCTTTTCCCATGTCTTCAGCATCTTAAAGTCTGTGGCATATACTTTGAAGAAATCTGCTTAATTATTTAAATTCTTGGCAGCTCTTTGCTATCTTCCAAGGGTACAAATGCAACACCATGAAAGACATTTGCTTATGGAACCATTGTTGGCCTAACTCAACTGCTTAAGATTTTTTTTAATTAAGAAATTTTATGTGTATGGATGTATTGCCTGCATGCATGTTTGTGCACCATATGTGTACGGTGTCTGAAAGTCAGAAAGAGGGTGTCGGATCCCCTGGGACTGGAGTTACACAGATAGTAGAAAACTACCATGTGGGTCCTGTCAATTGAACTCAGGTTCTCTGGAAGAACAGCCAGTGCCCTTAACTTCTGAGCCACTTCTCTAGGCCCAGCAACTGCTTAACATTTTAAAGAAGGATTTACTCATTTATTTTTAATGTGTATGTGTGGTCTTGAAGACCATCAACTGCTTAAAATTTAAAGAAAGATTTACTTTTTTTTTTTGTTTGGTTTTTCGAGACAGGGTTTCTCTGTGCAGCCCTGGCTGTTCTGGAACTCACTCTGTAGACCAGGCTGGCCTCGAACTCAGAAATCCGCCTGCCTCTGCCTCCCAAGTGCTGGGATTAAAGGCATGCGCCACCACTGCCCGGCCGATTTACTTATTTTTAATGTGTCTGTGTGTGTTTGAGTGTATGTATGTGCATCATGTGAATGCTGTGTATGAGGTCAGAAGGCAGCATTGGATTTCTCTGGAACTGGACTTCCTGATGGGTGTGAGCTGCCATGTGGCTGCTGAGAACATAACCTGAGTCCTCTGCAGCAGTACAGGCTCTTAACTGTTGAGCCATCTCTCCAGTCTCCATCTGCTTATAAACAGTTACAGAATAGTGGTTAAGAATATCGTCTTTCGCTTCAGAGAGCCTGCATTCCAACATTGCCACTGTTAGCCTTAGTTATCATATCTGGAAAATGAGAATATTTTATACAGGTCATGGTTTTATAAGAACCTGACATGATAAATATGGACACTTGTCACATCGAATACTTTACTGAGTAGTGTTGCTTTAGGTTTATTGTTTTTCAGAACCCCAGGAGAGCCGCAGTTGCACGAGGGCGCGCTTGTAGGGAAAGTTCAGTCAAAAGGGTGGGGTTTTGGCTCAGGATAGTGATGATGACGGCACTATTTGGACCCTAGAATCACCTAGGACACATTCCTCTCCTCAGGCCTCATGTTTTACTTGCCTTGCCTCCCAGTTCTGGGGCTGCAACCCTGAGGAGACCTTCTTCTTCCTCCTCAGCCTCAATCTAGGTGGGAGGTGGCGAAAGCAGAGCGGGAACATTGTGTAGGCGGAACTCGAGTGCAGCAGTGGGAGGCTTCCGGGGGAACAGCACCGGTGACGGGTCGGCGGAGACAGAAAAGTGCCGGACGCCGGGCCGATCATGGAAGCTTGACAACCTGCAGACAGGCTCTGGGAGGCCGAGACATCGGCGAAGAGAACAGAGAGTCGGCG